TTTTTTTGGTTTCCTGGTTGGTCTTCCTATGCGCTTTCCATGCCTTTGAAGTTGGCTTGCCTTGATGCCTTTTAAGTTGGCTTGCCTTGTTTTGGCCTCTTCTCAAGCAGGTTAGCCTTGATCCAGTGCGTTGTCTGCCCAAAAGCGCGGTTTTATACTTTTGGGGTTGCCGTGTCAATTTTCCCAGGTGCTTTCCATTCATGTCAAAAGGGTTTGTCTTGGTTGTGTCCATTCTGTGCTCTTTGTGCCTTCTTGTGGGCCTTGGTGTCAAAAAATTCTCATCTTAAGCTGATTTGCTTTGTTTCCGTCTCTTCTGTGCTCTTTGTGTCTTAGGTGCTTTCCATCTTTTTAAATGGGTTACCCTTGGTTCTTTGTCTTTGTGAGCCTTGTTGCGACAAAAACTGGTTCTAGGCCCCAATGTGATTTTCGTGTTGTTGGCTTCGTATTTTTGGGTTTCCTGGTTGGCTTTCCTATGTGCTTTCCATGCCTTTTAGGTTGGCTTGCCATGTTTTTGCCTCTGCTCAAGCAGGTTAGCCTTGATCCAGTGCGTTGTCTGCCCAAAAGCGTGGTTTCATACTTGTGGGGTTGCCGTGTCAATTTTCCCAGGTGCTTTCCATTCTTTTCAAAAGGGTTGGCCTTGCTTGTGTCCATTCTGTGCTCTTTGTGTCTTCTTGTGGGCCTTGGTGTCAAAAAATTCTCATCTTAGGTTGCTTTGCTTTGTTTCCGTCTCTTCTGTGCTCTTTGTGCCTCCCATGCACCTCTTAGTGATGCAAGTGGTGCTGTTGAATGCCCCCCGACTTTTTTTAGCATTTTGTTTGTTATTTGTGTATCCGATGCCCTTGTGAAAAGTGCTGACCCAGTTTGTCAAAAAACATTGCATTCGTGATGCAAAAAAAATCTTATTTTTTGCTGTATTTTACAGTGCTTCGTTAACTTCAACATACTGCCTCAAGCCACCAAAAAGTCTGCAAATCACGATCTCGAGATTTTCACCCCCTCCCTAACCCCTCCCCGCAAAACCTACCGGGGAGAAACTCAAAGCGATGTTCATCGCTTTCCGTCATCAATTGATGTTCAGTGGCAGCTCTGTACTCATGCGTTCTTATCTACGACTAGTGACTAGTGTTGTGGGCAGCAGATTCACCACCAGTTAGCAGCAAACATTGATCACAATGGGACGACTTTAAAGAGATCAGTTATATATTATATAAGTTACATTATTGTTCCGTTGCTGACAAATTCCATCCAACTTGATGCTTGTTTTTCGTTCATAAGCACTCACAAGCCTGGCAGGACTCACGAAGGCCACTCTGATACATTCACAGCACCTTGGTGCCAAAACAACATCTCTCTGTGGGAACGTCTCACACCGCAGAGGGGTGTCTCACACCCTGGCGGCTGCCTTCGTGAGATACACGTAGGTCCTTCTTTGCTCATGCGCACCCGCGGGCGCGGAAGCTGAGCCACTCAAGAAGTTAGACCGGATGAGATGGATTTTAGAAGATGAACTGTTTGTTTCTCGACGTCTTGGCCAAGGGCTCAACCGTCCCTTAAGATGAATAGTTTGAAGATGTCTACGGTTGGTTGGTAGAAATCCGGCATGTGTGTGTGTCCTGCTTTGCTTGGGATGATGTTTGTTTTCCTATCCACTTTCAGGTGAATCTGACATGTTTAAAATTGTTTTTAAGTGTTTCCCGGGTCGTTAAGCAAATCCAATGAAGCTCGGGGAGGGGGAGGGCTACTCGTGTGGGACGATGGTTGAAAGGGCAATTGTTCAACTCATGCATTCGCAAAATGCAGGGAAGTCAGAAAGACCCCGTGTTTCCGGACGAGTATATATATATATATACATATATATACATATATACAGCTGCTTTCTAAGAGGCCTTTTGCCGACCTTTCACCTTTTTTGTTGGGGTGTATGTCTTATATTGTCATTGTCCTTCCCAGGAATTCAGCCGATGGACGGCTTCAAGCCGTCTTTGTCACCCCGAAGTTTCCCCAAGGTGGAGACAGCGAGCACGAAACCCGCACACCCAAACACACAGAGATGTTATATATTTATTGCTGTTAAGATGTGTTTAAGGTGAGAAGTTGGTGATGTGTTTGTTCCTATTTGATTGATGATTATGTACACACATTATTGAAGTTGATTGGTACAGGTTGGAACACGGAATATTAATATAGGGTTTTGAGCCGCACTCACGTATCTCAGTTGATTGTCCCGTTTTGGGGCGTTCTTTCTGGGGTGCTCGTTTGTGCCATCTAACGCCGAACCACGAGGTCCGCTGGGCCGCCTTTGAGGTGGGACAGCGGACCGTTTTGTCCGCAGCCCGAAAGATCCGGTGGAAGTCCATAAAGGATATACAACATGAGCTGGACATGCTCCATCCATCTGGCTATAGCTGTCTCGTATCCTTGGGTGACTACATTTACGAAGTTAGCCGTACTACTAGTGGTATTTGGTATGTATCATCATGTCCTGTGGCTGGACTGTGAGAAAACTTCCATGTTCTGGCAAATGCTCGTTGGTGTGCACAGGCTTTTGGGGGAGGGTATTGCAAGTTCATATTCAATGGTCGTTCGCCCTTTCTCGATCTGTTCCAACTTGCCTTCTCGCCAAGCTTGCGGTTTCTTAACTTGGGGTGCCACATGAAGACGGTTCGTGGCTAGTGACTATGACAATGAGCCACCCAAAAGGAAAAACTCACTCAACAGATCTCTAAGAGCATCATGAAGTGAAAGGAAATCCCGACGGCCCAGAAGTCTCTAACCCCACACATCCTGCGCAAGAGAGCAAGCTTCGCCCAACGACGTGTGACTGCGGCAAAGGTTGTTGAAGTCGGTCTCACCGGTCGCAATTTTTGAAGCCAGTTCTACAAGCCGGTCAAGATCGCAGGCCTTCTCCATTCCACCTGACACGGGCTACTCATGGCAGGCTTCCCGCTTCGCGCGGCGTCGCCAATGTGGACGTCGCACCGTTTGGAGGTTTGGGCCCGTTTGCTGGCGTCCACGCCCTGCATCCCCTGCGCGGAGCTGGATCAGGCACGGGGTTCGGCGAGCCGTGGGGGGGTTCAGAAGCTTGGAAACCAGAAACCAGATATATCCAGACAATCCATGTATGGAACTACAATCGAAACATGCATGGAACTAAGTAATATGATTAATGTAGTTTTCTTGAACCAGACATATGTATGGAACTTGTTTGGAAGTGTTTGGAATATAGTTGCCTACATCGATGGTTTTCACGGTCGATGTAGGTAAATAGCACAATCCGATTGTGGGGTGAAGAGATTCCCCAAACTGAGAAGCGGCAACGATAGAACAGAAGGCTTCGATTCGCGTAGAGCCCTTTTGAGAGGGACATCTCATCACTTGCAGCTGAGTTTTAGCCAAGGTGGCCATCATGTTTGTCACTGAATTGATTTTGTCCGAATTACTTTTCGTCCACATCCCTCACCTTTACCACCTTTAGTTTTGTGGTTTGCTTTGTTTCGGCATCCCCCTGCTCGGGAGCTAGCGAGCCACGAAGCTGATTCACCCCCCAAACGAAGCTGCCTCTTTGGGATGAACAGTATTGGCCAATCCCGTCTTGCCTCGAACTTCCCCCCTGGGCCAGACACATAAACATGATCACCTGAACCTCAACCCTCACCAGAATCTGACGAGGAAAAAAGACCGCGGGTTGAACAATCTCATAAAGACTAGGAGCAAGGACGCTACCTATGGGCTCCTGGCCTTACTACTAGGAACAAGAAGATCAAGAAGCTACTAGGGGCCTGGCATCGCTACGAACGGAGCAAGGAAAGACAACGACAACAACATCTCCCTCGATTCATCGCACCTCACTGATCCAACCTTCACCCCATGCGAGCGGCGGATGCTATTCAGGCGGCCGAGCAGCTCTGCTGCGCCTGTGCCAGCGATGCCTACGCACGGGTTCGGCGGCGAGGTGACGGAGGGAGGGTGAATTGTCTCGAGAGTCTCGATCCTGTTCTGTTCTGTTCATTCTGAGAATTACTCTAACCCGTTTAACCCACAACAAGTTCAAAGCCATGGACAATTCTCTTGCTGCAATTTGTCGGAAAACCAAACCCACAACAATTGAGAGGTTCTGGAATGGCATGGAATTACTGTCGACTCGTCGACGGTCTTGCCGCGTAGATGATTGTCAACCAACTAGGCTATCTCCGCATACTCGTACCATCCGGTTCTGAACCACTTAGTTGCAGAGTCTATCCAACAAACATATCGGATAATATCAGGCAAACCGGGCCCACTTCTATGCTAATTACTGGCGGCCAAAATATACATATAAGAGGCAAGACTTCTACTTCTATGCCTTTCTTGGAGTATGTTGGACAAGTCCAGTTACTGAAGCATCAAAACAGCCCTGTTTCACCTGTTTCCTGACCATGCGTGATCGCGACCGGCAAGGTTTGTTGGTGCTTCTCCAGTGCTCTGCGTTGCATCCCCAATCCATGACGAAGCACCTGGAGAAGATCAGGCAAAGCGGCGTTCCATTTCCAGGTGTGTACGTGTATATAAGTGCAACTATATTCCAAGGGGTTGAGAATGAGAATCTCAGGGAATGGATTCAGTTAATTAGTGTGTTATGCCAATCTCTGGCCCACTCCATTGGGCATGCACCTCATGGACTTCTTGAAATCATTATCACAAGCCACCACTGAGGTGGAGACAATCACAAGGATTGTTTTGGGACTTAGAACGGCTTGAGGGGAAAGGTGCTAGGCATGCTACCCCTTCGCCTACGGGCAAGGGTGTGCAAAACATGATTTGCCGTATGCCCGCCACTGACCCGTATTCTTATCCTTATGTGGCTGGCGGGGATTGTTCCTAATGCATTGGCAAATAGACTTGGAGGGAAAGACATCTTGTTAGGCTTAAAGAAACCCGCCTGGATCAGCGAATGCATGCAAGTTTGGTTTTGTATGTTTGGTCTATGGAGTGGCGACCCAGGTGGAACAAACGTGTTGCGGCATGCACGATAAAAGTGCGGAGATGAAAGAGTCCCTCATAGGTGAGCAACATCGTGGGTACCTCTTTCAGTTCATTCGCTCTAAAAGTTTGGTGAATCCCTTTATGGAGCTTACAGCTGCTGCATGTGATCATGCAACAAATCGAAACCTTATCCTGCTGAATATTGGAGACGCAAATAAGGTGACTCCCACCTGCAATACTACTCTTCTTTTCAGGCAGATTTTAACCAAATAGTGTTACCACAAGTTGACAAACTATACAGCGGCAAACACATTGACACATTCGATAAGTTTGATGAGGGTCATTTGGGCAAGGAACACCAGTGTATCATGCATGTAAAACATGGTTGATAATGTATTTGAGTTTTTTGCAAGTGCTACATGTTCCAAAACCTTACAATAATAGTATCTCAGCATGTGCGTGTGATGTATTGCACTATCTCCACGCATCAAAGGAAGTGTGTACTGCAACATACTGCAACTGGAAGGCCCTTTTTGGAAGAATTCCCCTTATACCTGGACGAAACAACGACCCCCGACGCCAGGCGTGTGCTTGAGAAGGCTTGATGCGGCAGGGTTGTTTGGATTGATTGGAGCTACACCCTGAGTTGCACCACATGATGTCAGTCGCGACCAGTTCCACTGAAGGCACAAAAAGTTGGTGTTTGGGCCAACATCCTATAGTCCCACCTAGGACCTGTATACAAAAAATGAGAGCGGTCGCTTCGATGGCTGCGTCGAGGATCACAAAAGGCATAACTCTTGAATTCAACATTTCTCACCTGCCAGGCATGCTTTGCTGATGCTGATTGTCAGCAGGCGTAGCGAAGGGTGGGCTGGATTTGCGGGCAATTGTTCGAAGGGAGGTCCTGTAGGTCTCCTTGCTCGAAATGACGAACAATGCTTACAGTACTTTCAATGAGGATGACTGCTAGGTCAGGGCGCGGGATTATGTAGATTTTCTTGCGCTAGAGGCTCTCAGATGCCGATCCAGATGTGTTGTGATTCAGCGTGAAGGGACAAATAATTCATGTCCAGAGGGTCCAGAGCTCACGATTATTGTATTCAGCCAGATCCATGTGATGATTGGAAGAGTCGCCCTCTCTCAAAGAGATCTTGGAGTGGAGTGCGGGATGGTCATTTTTGGAGTGTCAATACCCACAGTCCAAAGAGACCCCGCCGAGGGGTCGAGTCCGGGGCGTGCGATCAGCCAGGCCTGCGTGCAGATCGCTGAGCACTTGGACTTGGACTCCAATGGCTTGCAAGGCCGTTGTTCAGACATGACTTGGCCAAGAAAGAGGGGCCACTGAGCCAAGTGTCAGGTGGATTCAAGTGCTCACCTTCCCAACCGTGCTGACACCTTCGCATGTTGCGACAGAAAGCCATGACTTTGGACCATGACCTGGACCAACTGAACAAGTGCTGTTTCGGGTCGATGGTGTAATTGCGGCTGCCACGTCAGGTCTTGGGCCGTCCCACGAGGCCGCTGGGAATGGTCCAAGGCCTCTGTCAAAAAGGGTTGCGAGTTGCGAGTGGTTCCACAGGGGTGTTGTTTTTCCAAGTGGTGTTTCGTATAAGGATATGATATAAAGGCATATAATTTAGTAAATATCAAGATAATATATAGTTTATGGGTTTGGCATGGTTTCCACTGGTTTAACAAACATAGTCTTTGAGACGTGTTTGAACTGAGGGTCCTGCAAAGGAACTTGCCCAAAGCCCAAAGTCACGCTTGTTCTAATTTTGGTTTGTTGGGAACATCTTGAAAACTCTAAAGAGTGTTGAGGAGATAGCCCATGCTTTGAGTAAGATAGTGCAAGCAGGGGCAATACAGTCAAGATTGCATTCGAGCGTGAGGGTCCTGAATAGGCATCATACATGTCAACAGGCGAGGCCTGCCCGGTGTTAGAAGGACACATATGATATTTTTCGAAGATATTTTCATTAGTCGGGGCGACTGCTTCCCATCCATAGGACTAATTAAACACCCCATGTTTGGTCGTTGAGCAAAATATGTGTCACGCCAATTCAAAGGGAGAAGACTGAACCCAACAACGCCATGTCCGATCGCAACACCCAACAAACCAGAACAAACCAACGATTAAACAAACCACAAGTGTGAGTCCTTCCCCACAAACGATTCCCCGAGGAGTTTGGGAAAAAGTTCCCCAACCAACGCCTGCCGGCCGCAAACAGCGCAGGCTGACACCATCCCTGCTGGGCAGGACTGACTTTGGGTGGTCCGCGGTCCTGGTTGCTTTAGTGAAACATAAACAATTTCTTTGGAGATAGTCCTTCAATAATTCCGGTAATATTTATCCTAATATATATATATATATTATACTAAAATATTGAATCAATATGATTCATTACCATTATTTATCCATTCGATATGTTGCAGCAAATAGATCTTATATTTATATATTGTAGTTATATCTTTCCAGGCAATTGATTGGCCATTGGATTGGAAATAAATCTAAAAATTAAATATATAACAATATGTTATAAAACTATATATTGCTTTAAATATTGGATTTTTAATATAAGAATATTGAATTAATTGATGTGTTAAGTTGCTTGAGTTTAGTGTTTTTGCTCGCAAGAAGTGTTTTGTACCAATGTTATTTGGAAAAAATGAAAGAAGTGTTTTGGTGTTTCCGTGGCCAAGTCTTAAAACACTTGCACAACCAATAACCATTCGACCCTTCTTCTCACCCTTAATACCCTGAAACACTATAGCCATCGGTCACAAATTCCCAAAGCGCAAGCACTAAATGCCGTTTTTTAAACAAAAAATGCAAGCAGTCTCACTAATCCAAAGATTAGCTCTTCTTGAACAGCTTTCGTAGGTCTTTAAACAAACTTCTTATAAAGTGTTTACAAAGTTTTGGATCTTTACAAAAATTTGACAAAGTTTTGGAATTATAATTTTTTACCGAGTTTTTGCATTACAAAGTTTTAATAAAGTCTACAAAGTTTAAAGATAGAAATAACAAACTTCACAAAGTTTTTGGACACTTATAGTACATTGAATTTTACAAAACTTTGGAACTACGAAGTTTTTATAAGGTATTGAACCTTTAGATATCTGAATAAAGCTTTGGACATTTATTAAGCTTTGAACAAGTTTTGGAATTTTATAAAGTTGTTACTAAGTTATTGAGTTTGAAAGTTTTTATAAAGCTTTTATAAAAGTTTTTGATGCTTATAAACTTTCTACAAAGTTTCGGTTTTTTTTAATTTGTGTCAAAACTTTGTAAACTTTACTATTTGAAAACTTTGCAAAACGTTGTAAACTTTGTAAGAACTTTGTAAATACTTTGTAAACTTTGTAAAAGCTGTGTAAGCTTTGTAGAAAATTTGGTGAAATTTTAAAACTTTGTAAAATTTCAAAACTCTGCAACAACTGTGTAAAGATTGAATAAATTTTGCAAACTTTGTCAAAACTTCGTAAACTGCTGTTAAAATTGTAAACTTTTTAAACACTGAAACACTTTAAACTTCGTAAACCTTTGTAAAAACTTTGTATACTTTGTAAAACTGTGTAAAAAACTGCGAAAACTTTGTATAAAAAATTGTAAAATGCGAAAACTTTGTCAAAACTTTGTAAAACACTTGTAAACTTTGTCAAAACTTTGTGAACTTTGTCAAAAAGTTTGTATACATTGCAAACTTTGTACACTTTGTACTAACATTTTGTAAACTTTGTAAAAATTTTTTAGATGTTGTAGGCCTTCGTAAACTCTATTTAAAAAAAGACCGTTATAAACTTTGTAAAACGTTTTTAAACTTTGTCAAAGCATTGTAAATATGAAGACCTTGTGAACGTTGTGAAAACTTTGTAAACTTTGAACACTTTGTAAATTTCCTCAAAATTTTACACAAATTGTGAAACTGTACAAACTTTGTAAAAACTTTGTAAAATGTAGAAAGAAACTTTGTAAACTTTGTCGAAACTCTGTAAACTTTGCAAAACTTCGTAAACTTGGCAAAATCTTTGTGAATTTTCCAATATCTTCAAAACTTTGTAAACTTTGTAAAAACTTTGTAAATTTGTGTAACAAAAGGCAAATGTCGCAAACTTTGTCAGAACGTTGTAAACTTTGTAAAAATTGTGTAAACTTTGTAAAACTTTGTAAAGTTCTGTGAAAGAAGTGTTTTTGCACGATTTTTTAATTGAAAAGAAGTGTTTTTCATGTCATTTGTTATAAACACAAGTGTTTTTCACCAGCCATTTGCAAACTTTGCAAAAACTTTGTAAACTTTGTAAAAACTTTGTAAACTTTGTAAAAACTTTGTAAATTTCGTAAAAACTTTGCAAACTTGAAAACTTTTGTAAACTTTGTAAAAACTTTGTAAAAACCTTGCAAACTTTGTAAAAACTTTGTAAACTTTGTAAACTTTGTAAAAACTTTGTAAAAACCTTGTAAACTGTGTAAAAACTTTGTAAACTTTGTAAAAACCTTGTAAACTGTGTATAAACTTTGTAAAAACTTTGTAAACTTTGTAAAAACTTTGTAAACTTGAAAAAGCTGTTGTAAACTTTGTAAAAACGTTGTACAACTTTGTAAACTTTGTAAAAACTTTGAAAACTTTGTAAACACTTTATGAGACTTTGTAGACTCTGTAAAAATTGAAAAATTGTGAAAATTCCGAACTTTGCAAGAACTTTGTCAAATTCCAAAGCTTTCTAAAATCGTTGTAAACTTTCAATGCTGTGCAAAAACTCTGTAAACTGTAAAAACTTTGCAACTTTTGTGAAAGCTTTGTAAACTATGTAAAGTTTGCAAATGTTTGTACACTTTGAAAAAACTCCATGTGAATTTGTAAAAATTGCAATCTTTGTAACGATTTTATAAACTTTGTACAAGCTTTGTAAACTATCAAAACTTTGCAAAACTGTGTAAACTTTGTAAAAACTTTGTCAACATTGCAGCAACATTGTAAAACTTTCAATACGTCTTTAATTGATTTTTTAATGGTAAAACCTTTGTAAACTGGGTAAACTTTGGAAATTGTTCAAAACTTTGTAAACTGTATTAAAATATTGTAAACTTTGTAAAACTTTGTAAACTTGGTAAACGGTTGTAAAACTTTCAAAACTTTGCAAACTTCATAAAATCTGTGTAAAACTTTGTAAACTTTGTACCAACTTTGAAAGCTTTGTAAAAACGTCGTGAACTTGGTATAAACTTGGTAAACTTTGTCAATACTTTGTAGACTTTGTAAAACATTTTTAAATTTTGTCAAACTTTGTAAGCTTTGTCAACCTTTAAACTTGTAAAACTGTGTAAGAACTTGGTAAAACTTTATTAAGACGTTGTAAAAATTCGCAAACTTTGTAAAAAGGTTTACAAACCTTTTACGAAGTTTTGGAGTTCTTCAAATTATTCTTCAAAGTTAGAGCAACGTTTTACACAGTTTTTAGAACGTTTACAAAGTTTTGTATTTTTACAAAGTTATACAAAGTTTACAAAACTTTCACAAAGTCTTAAGAATTTGTACAAAGTTTGCAACTTTTGCAAAGAGTTGACAGAGTTGTTGAATTACAAACAAACTTACAAAGGTTTACAACGTCTACAAAGCTTTTACCATGGCCGTTCACTCACCACTCACGAGACAAACAAACCTATGAAATAGTCCTTTGGGTCTCGTATGTTGCCACTAACAACGCAAAAAAAACAAGACGTGTTTTATACCCTTTGTTAGTTCTGAACAACCAATTCTTCAGAGGTCCGCAAGGGTCAAAAACACTTCTTCTGCGCTAATTCCCCCGAAACAACGAACGACGGTCCCCAAGCAACTTAACAAATTGATGAAATTTATTTAAAAATAAATATATATATATATGTTATATAATATATAAATATCTATATTGAAAATATATATTGTATATGTTTTTAATATATATATATTAATTATATATTAGATTTATTTTATATTTAATTGTAAATGAATTAAGTTATAATATATATTGGAAAAAAAGAAATATATATATATATAATGATTTATTAATATATAATTCTAATATATATTGACAAATATAATATAATGATAAGATTTATTGAATTTATATGCTAAAATTATTTTGAATAAAAAATAAAATATAGTTATATATGTATATAAATAATGATGTATTTTAAATATATTAAATGTATAAATAATTTTTTGGTATATGATTTATAATGTATATTAATAGTATTTAAAGATATGAAATCTGTCGTTGATGTTGATTAGAGGGGTAATGGTAAAATTGTAATTAGGTTTTATATATTATATCTTTAATTTTATATTAATTAATGTATTTATTTTTTTTAATAAATAAAGGATTCAAATTTTAGTAATTATCGTAATATATTAGCGGGGGAGGTTATTTAGATTTGTTCGGATATTTTTTATGATGTATATTTTGATTTTTCTGGGATATGAAGAAATTGATTTAATATATTTATAAATTTATGATATTAAGAAAAGAAATCGAATAAATTTTATAAATAATTTTAATTTGGTTTTAAATTATTTTTTGGGGATATATTTAATTATATTTCTTTAATTATTGGGAATTTTAATTTTAAGATTGTTTATATTATGTTTATTTATGTAATTTTATTTATTAAATTATATAAATTCGGGAATTTATTTTGGATTTGTATTTTTGAATTTTTTAATATTGAACTAAAAATTAATAAATTTAAAAATATTATTTAAACTAGAATATATTGGTTTTATATTTGCAATTATTTATATGATATATTTTTGTTATATATTGTTTAATAAAGCAATACTTAATTGTTCGTATTTTTAATAAT